CTGGGAGCTTTTTTATAGCTGCTGTTTGTATGTGCCAACATAGTAGAGGTTTATGTTGTTTTTGAATACCTGTTTTTGTGAATGCTTCTGAGCTGCTTCAGTGCAAAGGCAGCTGAGTTAGTCCATATCTCCTTCAGCAGTGGTTTCCTGCAGCCAGCTGGGATGGGGTAATTACATTTGCTGTGTTTTTGAGCTGCAGGGATAGTACCTCCATCAGAAAAGCAGCAACCAGCCCCAGACAACCCTGGCTTGCTGATGAATGCTGCAGGATATCACTGTTTCTGCACCAACCATCTGTTGGTAGCCGTGGTGTGAGGTCTGCAGCTCTGAATATTGATGCAGAATAGTGTTTATCTGGTGCTATGTTGTGGAGAAAGATAGTTGGGAGATAGAGCTAAAAAGTAGCTTGCAACAAAACAAAGCTAAAACTCTTGTGTTACAGTTATCTTTTTAGGCTAGTTGTATGAAAAATCTCAGTTTAGTTCGTTAGATGAGGAGCTTGCCCTAGAAGAAAGCATATGATTTAAGCAGTAAGATGCTCTACAGCCAGCATCAGAGCCAGACTTCGAAAATGCCAGCTACCCCTTTATTTTGTGGGTACATGTGTTTTCAAAGCATCCAGGCAGACACTTAGCTCTTCTAGAGGGCTTTGATCATTCCCGTGTCTCATTTTTCTGATTTGTAAGACAGACAGTGTTAGAAAGAAGACTGATGCTTATGTAATGATGACAACAAATGGAGTGGAGTATGCTACAAGCTCAGATTGCTTTGATTTTGAGTGTTGTAGCACCAAAAGAATTTTAAGCTACATATCATGTGAAACAAGTCAAGATATGCAGCTTTGTTTAATTTCCAATCAAAAAGAGATTTTGATTAGTTTTTTTTTTTCTAATCAAAAACAAAGCAGGGGTACCAGGCTCTAATGTACTCATAGTATTCACCTAAAGAGCCAGTAAAATGTGTTATGGAAGGCTTGTCAGGAAAAATAAATTGTTTGAACTCTGCCAGACCTGTGTAAAGATTTGGATGATTAGTTTGTGTTCATCTAATCCTTTCCTGGTTTTCATGCAGTAGAGCGCTATGCGGAAAAGAAATCTGGTTTTATGGAAGGCAGAGGAAATATCCACGTTAACCAGAGCTTGGACGGATTTATGTTTGTGCAGCAGGTTTCCAGTTGCTTCACAGAAAACATTAAGTGATGGTAGTAGTTTAAGAGCCACATTGTGTTTTGTAGGTCCGCTTTCTTATTTTTAAGCGGAAGGGTCTTTAAATAAATCAAGTCCTGTCCTCCCCAGGGGCCGTTGTGTGTGTCCCTCTCTAGCCTTGCTTGTTCGCATCCGCAGCCCGATTTGGTAGCGGTCGCCTGATTGTCTTGGCTCACTGCGCATTGATTCATGTTGAAGGCAGCCTCTGAGCCTGCAGCGAAACTGCTTGTGGGTGGAAGTTATCAGGAAGGCACATCGTAGCGGTGTTCAGGCCCTGCCTCCAGAGCTTGCCAGAGGACCCTGAGAAACGCACAGTGAGAATGCCAGGTTTTCAACGCAGTTTTGCGCTGCAGATCTACCCCTGCTTGGCCATGTAGCAGGAGCTGCGTTGGTGCGTACTGCGTGTCCAGGCACTGAATCCCCCTGGGAAACCCTAGTGGGTCAGATGGCTCATGCTGTCTGTGCAGTTGTAGTCTGATTTGCTGTTGACCTCAGCATCGAAGGGGTTATAAAAAATACTGCAGGAAAATGTGGAGCGATGTGGAAACTCCAAGCTGGATACAGTCATTAAAGAATTATTTATATGCTGTGGCACTGTCAACAGAAGAAACAGCAAGTGTACTGCAAAAGGTAGTTCCACTTCAGTCTGTTTATCCTCTTTAGAGAGGATCTAAGATGTTTTGATGCATTTGAGCATTGAGATTGCTGTAGAAAGTCATTAAAACTTGGCAAAGCAAGTATTATCCACAGGAGGCTGCAGGAAATAACTCTAAAATATAGAATTAGTACACTTAATGAGAACGAAGTGTTTCAGAAAATGCAAGAAACTTCAGTGTGTAAAACCTTATCAGCAACTAGAAAAGCACATAGAGGCAGTTTATTTTTTTTTGTGCAGGTTTCTTTGCTTCTTATTTTGAAATGACAGGTATTAGGTGAATCATGGGTCTGCTCCAATACGGCTATTCATATTTTCCTCGATAGCCAGAAACCAACATAGAAGTGAACATGACAGTGAAAGTAGGCTCAGCAGCTGGGAGCTCTGGGGAAAACGGTAGCTTTAAGGAGGGTAAGTGTATCAGGAAAATCGGAATCTGCTCTCTTGAGCCAGGTTGTGGGCAGAAGGAGAGCACTTTTAGAGCCAAGGGGCTGGCAAACCCTTCTCCCCAAAGGTCAGCCTTGATGTCCTGCACCAGCATCTCTGCCTGTCCTGCTGTGCTGAGGCTCTGCCTTCTCCTGCATGTGGGAAGAGTCTCTCAGCATGAAGCGAGGAACAGGGTGAAGGCCCAGGAGAAGTGCAGACATGAAGAGAAGTGCAGACACTCTCTGTGTTCAAGTAGCTGGTAACGTGTGAGCGGGTGCCCGATGTCTATAGCTTGGCATGGTCGGAGTTTATTTCTGTCTGAGTTCTGCTGAATCGTCACTTACTGTTTCTCGGGAGGAGGCTGCGGAGCACGTTGCCGTCATAAGACCTCTATGGGTGGAACTTGAGCTCTGTGGAAAATGCTTCCATGACTCACCTATCTTTTTATATAACACATGGCTGTTGCATCAGTCGGGCTGTGTGGTTATACAGTTTCCCTGGAAGTGGTAGCACTAATATTGAAAACTAAGGTAAGACAGGAACCTTTGCAGAGCTGCTGCTGCGCTCTCCATGTGAAACTCCCAGTATTATTTACTCTATCGGTGATGACATGTCAGAAGGCCTCAGTGAAATATTTACCCAGAACTTCACTTTCTGAACTTAGAAATTGTTGAACTTATTTTAATTAAAACTCGTGATCTGTCTGGATCGGATTGCTGAATTTTTGCTTTCTGCTTATGTCACTTTGGAACTAGGACACAGAAGAATTCAACCTATTTTGTTCTCTCAAGATCCAGAAAGCTACTAAAAAGTTGAAATTGCCAATAACATAGTCAAGCTTTCTATTTTTTTCCCAAAGTGCAGAAATGGAACCATTAAGCAGGGTGGATTTTTTTTTTTTTTTTTGCTTAAGCTTTATGCCATGGAAATAAACCAGTTGTAATTTTAGCTGGTGTCTGACCTGCATGAAATGAATGATGAATGTTAGACCATGAGGATTTACTGCAAGCTGATTCTTAGCTCCAGCAATGATTGCTTGTGTTCTCCCTGCAGGGTTTCTTAACTTAAACATTCAGAGTATTTCATGCTGCCTTCTGTTCCACTGACTAGTGATCTGTATTGCTGAAATCATGCAACTCCTAAGAAAAAAAATTACCATGATTGGGCTATAGCCTTTTGCGAGGGAAATGTTCTTCTGTCATCACAGGGAGCTGCAAAAGCTCTGGAAGCCAAGGGAAGACAATCACATTGTAATGGCAAGCTTAAATCAGTGGGGAGACATTTTAAGCCCTAAATGGGCCTTTTATATATATGTATGTGTGTATATATGTGTGTATGTGTATATAGTTGCAAAAGCACACTGCTTGCTATTGATTTTTAAGCATCTGTATTTATCTGCACCTTTCAGGTAATTTCAAATATAACAGGATCCGTTCTCGTAGATTTCCTCAAGTCAATTACTCTTTTTTCTTTATCCTTCTTTCCGCACGTGGTCATTTAAAAGTCCTCATTTTGACAAAAAAAAAAAAAGTTGCAAAAGGAGGGGGATAAATATACTTATTCCATTTCTTCTGTCCTTCCTCTTCTTATTTCCCGTCTTCATACCTTTTTGTAAATTGTATTTGCCCTCCCCCAAGGAGATTTCCTCCAGTCCTGATACTGTTTATCTTCTTGTCTTGCATCTTGCCTGTTTGTATATTTGGGAGGTTTTCCTGCCTCTTTGCTATCCCTTTTGCTTATCTTATCTGTCTGACAAATCTTTGTTGTTTAGGTGCCTCCTAGGTGCATCCTCACCTGCCTTTTTCGGCCCTTAGTAGTCACCTTGATGACATACTTGCATAACGTAGTTTAGTGTGTCTGGTGATGCCACCACAGTGTTACAAAATGCTTAAATACTGCTGTGGGTTACCCTACCCTAGCAGGCCTGCATTTAGGTTCAAGACAGACTAGTAGTAGTTGTATCCTGATCAGTACATTTATAATCTGAGTGTCCTAGGCCTCTGTTCCAGCAACATGCAAGGACAACAGGGGACAGTTAGCCCTCCTTTTCTAGCCTTTTTTGAACTTTGTCTTTTGGAGGACATCCTGGGTAGCCTGGGCAACATTCTTTGCACTTTGGACCTGGTGTCATATATGAGCTGGAACAGACCTAAGGCTGGGCAGTGACAGGACAACTTTCTCTCGTCCCAGTAAAACTCTTTTGACTATTAATATTGCATGTGGTGACCTTAAAAGGGCTGTCCTAGAAAAACAGAAACCCTAACCATGAAGCCCTCTTGTGAGGCAAAACTCCTCTGAGTTGCTAAGAACAGTGTCACAAAACTTGAATTTCAGAGGAAGAAACCACATGCAGAGAAGGAGGGAGGAATGTTAACAAGTGTCAGCCTTCGGCAGCAGGAGGTGTTTGCAGTCCCTCCAATTTTATGGTGTCACTCTATTCTGGGTTATCTTCTTTTTTTTGGATCCTGTAATAGTTGTAAAGTTGGTGCCTCCTGCAAACCCAGCTCCTGTATTGAGGCATTTGAAATCATATGTATGTTGGTACTCGGGCATACATTTTATAAAGGTATCCACAAATGCTTGTTGTGTGTGTTTGATGTGCTATAAACATTAGTTCTATGCATGCTTTGTGATTTTAATAACAGTCCAATCTTGTTTTTTTTTCCTATGCATGCTTTGTGATTTTAATAACAGTCCAATCTTGTTTTCAGCTTCCTCCCTCCATTTGCACGCACGTTGGAATGTGGCTGCTTTAATCATTGCAAGAGTTAAACCAGCCTCCTGCAAACATGGCAGACGAGGACCTTATTTTTCGTATGGAAGGAATTGATAATGCTAGGACAATTAAAGTGAACTCTGGAAATTACCCTGATGCTGATAGTGATGATGAAGACAATTATTACATCTGCCCAATAACTGATGATCCAGTTTCTAACAAGTCTGCCTGTATCAAAGTTGACAGTTATTATAGCAACTTAGCGAAAACTGAACAGTACAGTTTAAGCTCTTCACCCAGCAACTCATTCCACTTTAAGGTAAGCATTGACTCCAACTTTAAATAAGGTTCTGATTTTACTTAGTTGGCATGAGAGATAAAGATTCTTTTAGCTGCCTCATTTCTTGTGATTAACACATTCATTGAGAACATCCAGCTGATTTTTTTTCCCCTCCTCTAGACTTGCAATTAATTCCTTAAGCCAATAGTTTGCCACTGACTTAGTGCTTTTCAGTTCAGCAGAACCCAGGATGACAAGTAATGCAATGATTGGGAGTTTTTAGAGATAGTATTTGTTGTAAGCTAATTTGGTGGCCAGCAGAAAATACTTTCCCATAAATTGTGCTAGGCCAAGTTAATGATTCCTTTTTTTATTATTATTTGAAAAAGTTAATGTTATGTTTGTAAAATATCCTTTTTTAAAAAAAAAAAAAAAAGAGAGAGAGAGAGATTGGATGTGTTCTTCCTAAGGAGCTTTTAGCATATTGACTGTAGTGCCTGGACATGAAGTGTCACACTGGTAGGAGTTTCTTACAGTGCGTTCCAGCTGCCTGACGTTTTTAGGGTGAAAGGCAATCACACTGTTGCAGATGGACACTCTGCAAGTGGGGGACTAAGGAGGGACTATAGTTGGTGCTTCCTTGACAATGTGTCCTGCCCTACTCTGCTTGCTTTGCTCAGGTCAGGCCAGGAAAAGGGAGAGAACTCACAGGAACTGGTGCTTCAAGAACACAAGTGACCTTCTGTAGGTTAGATATCCCACATACCATTCATGCTAACATGGCACGTCTCTGGATTTTGTCTACAGTAGCATTTAGTGTGTTTTATTAGCACCCATTTAATAGATGGATGTATTATGTCTAATACATGCTTTATTCCTGGGGAGATACCTTAGTGTTTTTTTTTTTTTTTCCCAAAAAAAATTTTTTAAAAAAAAAAAAAAAAAAAAAAAAAACTGTAACAGATACAAAGTAAAACATCTTATCTGTAATAAGATTTTTTTGTATGCTGATTAATAAAAGTATTAAAATGTACATATTCCTGAGGAAGGTGAGGAGTAAAAGTGTAGTATAAATAGAGGTCAGACTTCAATGTACGCTATGTTAACCAAGAGAAAGAAAACTTTTTCAGTCATTTGTCTTATCATGTGTGTTTTCCTACTTTTGTTTCTCGTGTATGCTTCAGAATGACACACAGGATTGCTCTAAGCATGGCTCTGTGGTTGACCATAGTCGGGTAGGTTAAAACAAAATAAGAACATCTGATGTAATTTTATATATATATAATTTTTCCCTTTTACATTGTCCTTGTTCATTATTTCACTGTCTGAGAGATCTACTTGCTTCAGCCTGTGTAAGTTTTCAAATCAAAAAATTTAAAAGATCTTTTAAAATAAATGAAATACAAAGGAACATGACAAATGTAAAAGATCAGCTTCTTCCTAAAGTTCTTTGTCATGCCTAACATTTGTTTATACTGTATTTTTTTCAGTTTTGAGATTTAAATCCTAAAAAAAAAAAAAGTGCTATTTTAAGTGTCTGTTTCTGTGTACTTCAGGCACAGAGGCAGGAAAGAGGTCTCAGAGGTAACAGTATTTTCCTTCAGGGTGCTGGGTGCTTCAGGGTGCGAAGTGGCCTATTCTCCTTGCATAAGGCCTTTGGCACATCACAGAATCATATCAAGTTCTCTGGGAGCAGCCCAATGTAGAAAGAGGGGTACTGAAGTGTTAAAATAAAAACATCTACATTGGTCTGTAGAGACAGGCTATTCAAATTCCAACCTATTATTATTATTTTTTTTTTCCGTCGACTTGATGGAGCTTGAAATAGCTACATGCTGGAATTGTTACAATAATTCATTTTCACAGTATGCTAATTTCTTCTTTCTTACCTTATTCTGGACACAGATGGGAGACATGGGTTTTACATTTTTTTCCTCCTTCATATTGCTCTGCTAATTGTTGCAGTCTGCAACTTTATTTTTTTGCAAACTATACTTGGCTTCTACATGTATGCTAGATCAGATTCTGTTCTGAGTAACTTTATGGTTTTGCATATTAAATCAAAAAGCTAATGCTTTATATTTCTAAACTGTGTTCATTATACTTGAAACTAGCAAATGCTAGAGTGGTGTTCTGTATCACACACAGAAAAGTGGAAAGAAAATGTTGGAGGAGGACTGCTCTGTCCTGCTCCTGGTTTGGTCTCTGCTTCCTGTGGTCTTTTGGGGACTTGGGTAGTTGTACATATTTGTATCCTCAGGATTCAGATGTACTCTAAAATGCCATGTCTGTGGGTTGCTACTGATTGTAAAAAGCCTCTTATAACTTCTTCAGGAAACCTGGAAACATGCTATTGAGAAAGCTAAACACATGCCCGATCCCTGGGCAGAATTCCATCTTGAGGACATTGAGACAGAATACGCCACTCGTTACAGGTCTGTGTGTCTTGCTCTTAATGGCAATGTTAAAGGGGTTTTGCTGGCTTATGTTGAAGGGTCCATCTGGTAGAATATGTATAATTACCTATCTGAAAAACTGCCAAACATACCGCAAATGAGTGTGCCTTAACTGAATTCCCCAGAAATACATAAACGCTGCATAGGATCAAAAATAGATATTTCAGCAAATCAGTGTCTCATTTTTGCTATTTCTCTAACTTAAGTAGCATGCAAAAGTTATTTCATCCAGACACAGACAGGAAATGTCTGAAAAGTATTTTCTGGTTGATTTATTAATTCCATAAACTTAATCTAATTAAGGAAATAGGCAGTGTTTGAGGTTTAAAGATTTAGAGAGGAAAAAAAAAAAAGCAGCATAGCACTCTGTGCCTTCCCAAAATAGCACTTTTATTGTTGTCTGTGTGTGCAGAGTTGCTGGCTGTGGCTGGAATGGAAGTCCTTAAAAAGCCCAGAATAGCCCAGCACAGTGTCAGTGCCGAAACTGCCGCTGACCCTTAAAGCATTAAAGGTCACTGAGCACAGGCTTTGCCAGAAAGGTTACCTTAGTGACTCCTTCATGGAAAGAGTAGGAGTTAGGGGCTGGTTCATTGCCCCATGGCATCAGCTTGAGGCAGGCTCCCTCCCATTTGCACAGCACGATTGCACAGCAGTCTTCCCTCCCAGGCTGTGTCTGTCTCTGGTCAGCTCTCCAATCCTGGAATATTTTGTGTATTTTGAAGAATAAGAAAGTGATTATGCGGCTGTAGGACCCAGAAGTACCCGAGCCAGCTGGGGAGATCAGGCTGGAAGCAGTTGTGTGCTGCTGACTCAGGCCCTTCAGTGGTAAGCGAAGGGAGAGGGGAGAGCCCGCAGTGGTGCCCTTTGTATAATCCCAGGGACGTGCAGAGACTTGTTCTGTGCTTGATGCGATGCGGGCAGCGCTCGGGCCTGGCTTCTCCCACCCCGCCGGCGCTGCAGTCTGCTCATGTCCTTGGAAAGCCTGGGGCAGCTCCCAAGCCAGAGCTGGGATTATGTGAGATAAAGCCCAGGTCTTGGGACTCCAAGAGCTTGGGGCTCCCTCTGCGCTTTTTATGAGAGGCCTAAATCCTGATTTTTTTTTTTCTCCCTCCTTCCAGATACAATGCGGTTACTGGGGACTGGGTTGAAGATGAGGTCCTCATCAAGATGGCCTCGCAAGTAAGGTCACGCTGTTTTTCCTGTGTTCAGCAGTCAAATTTGTTAAATTCTTGCTGTTACTTCAAGATGCCTTTCTCTTATGAGCTTTGAAGATTATGTCTGTCTTTCCTCCCTGTCACTATTGTCTTCTCACTGCTTACCCATTATTTTCTAGTGTCCCAGCAGCATTTTCTCCCTAGAATAAAGTACACCATGGACTCAGGCCTCCCCTCATCGGTGACATGAGGTGTTTGTTCCCTTCCCAGAGTGGCCCTCCCGTTTTGGCCCTTCACCTGTTGCTGACAGTGCTCTGAGCCTCGTCTCTGCGCCTGTCAGTGGGCCTGCTGTGTTCTATCTAGTAATAATTCCTGCTCCTAGGATGAAAACAGAGTGAATTTACTGTATGAGTAGAAGCTATTGACCCTTTCCAGTTGTGTCATGGGGTTGATGGTGTGTTTGAATCAACATCATCTGTGCTTCTATGTCTTATGTCCAGGGTGATGTTGTTCTGCATCACTTGTTTTCTGTGGAAACTACCAGCCCTGGGATGAGGGCTTGATATCTGTGAAGCCAGCTCCCCTAGGCAGTCTCAAAAGACTGGACTGCAAACTAGAGAGATTTTTAAATGGCATCTTTGAAAGACCCATCCCATCTGCTCCATGGGATATTGAGGAAGGAGGTTAATATCCAGTGCGTTTTTGCCAAATTTCTATGTTACATTATCTATGGGCTGTCACTTTGAGACGTCAGACAGATACTGTATAAAGGTGTTTGAAAAGTGATTTCTTCAGATCATGAAGGCAGGATCATTCCCCTTAGTGGTTAGAAATTAACTTTGTGGAAGTGACAGTGCTGTGTTTTTATTTTTGTTTTGTTTTTTCCCCTAGCCCTTTGGCCGTGGAGCAATGCGGGAATGCTTTAGAACGTAAGTATATGCTGACTTCCTGCTTGCAGTATTTTCTTCTGCGTGGTAAGTGGAATTTTTCTTAGCTATGAGAATTGTGTAAAGCACAAATCCCTGTTTAGCGCCTGGCTGTGCATTTCTAAAAGACATAGCTGAGGGCTTCATTCCTGTTTGTGCAGCTCCAGCCACAACACTGAGAATAAGGTTCAGAAAGCAGAAAATTGTCATTTCCTTTAAGAGAAGACACAGTAGCTGTGATGAGAGAGTGGTCTCATCTCAGCCACATTCAGGAACGAAAGCTCTTCTGCCAGAGTTCATTGGATCACAGATGTTGCTGTAGCCGTATTGCAAGTAAAATGGAGCTGGAGGGTTAACAGCTATTCTTTCCAGAGGGGTAAAATATAGAGGAAGGGAAAGGAGGAACTTTTCTTTGCACATGAACATGTTTGTGGGCATGAGCATCTAGCTTCAAATCAGTTCATGCTAGAGGACTACAACATCCTTTCCAGGCTCTGGAAGTAAATGCTTCCTGCAGAATGCCCATGTGCATATTTGAGACCACCTCCTTCTGCCTTCTTTCCAGCTGCAGGATCTAGAGAGATTACATTTCATGTCTGGTTTCATTTGTGGAAGGAGAATCACTCCTACATGACAGAAATGTGATGTTTTGAACTTTTAAAGAGAAGGGGACAATGTAACCCCTCAGTGTTCAAATTCTGAAGTTTCAATATTGCTTCATGCTGATGTCTCTGCTCTTGCAAAGCTAGATACAGCATCAAGCGAAGCCTGGGAAGCAATAAACCCCAGTTTAGGGACACTGCTTTCAGTTCTTGTTTCTGAGTGACCAAATTCTTCCTTAAATTATCATGTAGTGACATAAACAGAAGTTTATTTGTAGCTTTACCTTAACCTCTTGCTTATGAGAAAATATCACTACTGTATAAGCTTCCCTGCTCCTTGATTTTTCCACAATATGCAGTGGTGCAGATACTCATCTAGAGCGCTCTGTATTTTTACAACTCTGCGCACCTCTGTCATTGCAGTGACAGCACTGGCTGCACTTCACTTAATGAACCGTGGAGCATGTTTGCTTTAGGAATGCATGTGAGATGTGAGCTGGCTTATTTTGTGCCAAAAAAAAAGAAAAAGAAAAAGGAAAAAAAAAAAACAGAATTGGACAAGTCTCAAATTACAGGGGGGAAAAAAAAAAAAAAACCCACAACTTTCTTCCTCTGTCTCATGCAAATGGATTACAGGGGGGAAAAAAAAAAAAAACCCACAACTTTCTTCCTCTGTCTCATGTAAATGGATGCAGCTCCTCAAGGAAAGAAGACTGTAGTTGCTCTGAAATTCATGGTAAAATGTTCTTTATTTTTTTTTCCCTTTTTGATTTGAACATTGAGGTGATCCACAGCCACTGGATGCCTCCTTGATTCATTTGCTGACACCCAGCAGATCCAGCTAAATTTTTTTTCTTCACTTTTGAAGCCTTTGTGGTTTAAAGGTTAGCATATCAATAAAAATGAACAATTGAAACATACGTCAAATAATTCTAGGCTGCAGTTTTTGTTCTGGGAATGTTGGGGATACTGAGAAGCCACCCATGTGTGTTGAGGAAAGCAGCCCTTCCTTCATAGGAGAGGATTTTCTTCTCTACGTTCATGTTTGAAAGGCTCCTCCCTGGTATTTTCTGCCAATGATAATTGTTGACTTTAGAATAAGGGCCTGAGACAGCACCAGCCCTTCCTGCCCTGTGCTGGCTGAGCAGGGAGTGAGGAAAGGAGCGAGGTTGGAGGCCAAATAGGAAGTCACACGGGCACTTTGGCAAGTCCCAGCTGTTCATATGGGATGTTACTTCTGCCCCCACCCCAGCTGTTGTATTTTTCAGCTAGAATATCTGCACAAGTGGTACAGGAGCAGCTCCTCACTGAGGATAATGCTGATCTTCTGACCTAGCTCTTTCTGTAGATATAAAACCATGAGGAATACTGAATTTAAATGCTCGGTTTTCCTTTCATCAACAATTTTATTTTTCTTTTAGGAAAAAGCTATCCAACTTCTTACACACGCAGAACTGGAAAGGTGCCTATAACTATGTTGCCAAGCAGTACATAGAGAGTGTAGGTAGGGATGTGTATTTTGAGGATGTCCGACTTCAGATGGAAGCAAAACTGTGGGGAGAAGAGTACAACCGGCACAAGCCACCAAAGCAGGTACATTCAAACACCTTGCTTAGCAAAAATCAGCCTTGCCCTTCTAATAGGTATGCTCTCCAATTAATTTAGAGGGGATTAGCTGTTTAAATTCCATTAAAGTTAATTGCTCATATAAATTCTGCCTTACTGTGTTTTCCATTAAACTGCAGTTGATTTTTAATGAAGTAAATGCAGAAATTGCTTTTCTCATCCAAAGTCCCTGTCTGCGTGTTTGTGCATGTCTAACTGTTCTCAGCTGTTGACTCAAGACCAAAATAAAAGTCTCTGCTGTTTTAGATATTTGCCCAGCTGCTTTTCAGATAACCAGGAGTGTCACAGAATTTATTGCCAGCAGCAGTCTGAGCAATCACTTAACTCTTAGTGCTCCTGGAAGGTTAGATGTGCCCAAGTCTTGTAAAGGTATCTAGGCTGGCAGTGATTTCAAGGAGAGCTGAGAACCTGCATGGCTTTATAAAGCTGTCCTGTGTTGTCCGAATGGAGATTCCTGAAGACTTTCCAGAAAAGTAATGATGATGTGGCTTTGTTTCTTTTAGATGTCTCAGTGGAAATACTAGTACATTATTTAACATACAAAATATTCAGTAAGATATATGAAACCTCCCAGAATAAAACTAGCCAAAAGTAGGGAATGTTTTTGAATATGTGAATATGTTTGAATGTGCAGTGTGTTACATCTGAGGGTCACCCTTGGTGTGGGCATAGTTAATAGCTACCCGCCTTGTAGCAACAAGGTGAGGGGTAGGGTGGAGTGCACATAGAGGAACATAAAGAAGTTTTATGTGTCATGGGAAAGATGTAAACTGAGTTTAAATAGGGGGGAATTTCTTTAGGAATATGTCCAGGACAGAGGGAGGAGATGAGGCAGGATGCAGAGAAACGTGTCACAGAAGAGAGTTTCTGTGACTGCTTAGAAGTTATTCTTTTGAATTTATGGAATGCCCCCAATAATTTGTGAAGCAAGTGCCTGTCCCTCCCCTCTCCCCGATTCCTTTGTTAAACAGATCGTTGCAGTTTGCAGCTGGAGAATTCACACATGCTTCATATGAAGGCAGGATTCTGTTAGTCACTGTTTGCTTTCCTTGCCTTCCCAGGTGGATATAGTGCAAATCTGCATTATTGAAATGAAGAACAGACCCGGAAAGCCTCTGTTTCATCTGGAACATTACATAGAGGGCAAATATATCAAATACAACTCAAATTCTGGATTTGTGCGAGATGACAACATTCGTCTTACTCCGCAAGTGAGACTTTGTTGATGTTTTCCATGGCTGTCTGCTGCAGGGAATTTTTGGCTATGCCCAGGGGTCTTGCACTGCTGCCAGGAAAGGAAACTGCAGGCTTTCCAGTACAACACCAGATTAATTTCTCTTTTTTGCAGTATGCACTCTCCTTATTTGGGGCTTGCTCTTTCAAGTATGGAGTACTTTTCTAATGCACTTTAGCATCTGTTGATTTTTAGTTAAATTAGGTGTGCTTAATGCCCTTTAGAAATCGTAAGCCCTTTCACACAAATTATCATTGCAGGCATCAAAACTTCTCAACATCACTTCAAATTAAAGAGAGGGAGAGAACTCTTACGTATTAAGTACTATTAAGTAGTCTTCTACTGGCTCAGAGTAACATAGAAGAAGAGGGGAGCAGTTTTGCACCCTGTGTGAATAGGTGTGCGCCTCATTTACATGGGAGGATCTAGCTGTTCAGATAAAAGTGCTTGAATAGGTGGATCTGAGATTGATTATAGAAAAAAGCTTCAGACTTCAAGTGACTGAAAATTCTTGAATCTTACAGAAGAACCATTAAAATATTGATCAAGAGTGCAAAGTGGTCACCATACCAAGGGAACTGGCTTTGCTGTTGTGTGTGTGTTTTTTTTTTTTTTTTCTCTCCTCTCTCCTCTTTTTTTAAACTATTTGTCGCACTGCTTAACAAAAGCAGAGGATTCATGTTTTGGGCTGTCTTTTGCACACTGAATCAGTGCTAGGCTTTCACAGGTTGGGAACAAAATGTTCTGTGAGGCTTGCTGCAGTTACAGTGTTTGTCTATCACCACCAGTCACCTCCCCCAGACCTGGCAGAGCTTTTTTGGAGGCCTTCCCAGAAACTTCTTAATGTCTCAGCTTTATGGCAAAGAAGGCCTATTTATTTTCTTTAATATACGTGACATTCATGAAATGAAACTTTTAAAAAATATGAGCATACATTTCAGTATACTCTCTATGAGTATAGAGCCAGATCAGTCATTCAGGAGGACCTCCAGGGAGTATATTGGGGGAGGAGAATGCCAAGGGATGCCCACATTTTCCTTTTGCAAGATCTGGCAGAGCTTTGCTCCTCTGCAGAAGGAGGCAGTGTGCAGAGTTGGGATGTTTGCGCAGAAGCTATTCTGCTCCTGTGCCTGCTGCTGTTCCACATCCAGTTATTTTCTGCCCAGAAGTAAAAACTGCAGATGAGAGCAGAATCCCTGGTAGAGGAAGGAGATACCAAGTGATCCCATCTTCATTGCATGTCCCTATGGCTGCTCTTCCCCCAGTCTCTCCCAGCCCCTCTCTGAGTTGGGGGCAGGCTGGAAAAGCAGTGCCCCAGAGGAGGATACTCCTTTCCGCCTGGGAGATCTGCATTCCGATTTTGCTTCCCTGTTCGGAGCTGGGGAACAACTGCTCATCTACCAACAAACACTTAGCACTGAATTTAGTCACCTTGGAGGGTACTAGATCTTTTGATACAGTCTACAGGGCAATATTCAGTGAAACAATTTGTTAGAAACTCAGTGCTGAAATTTGTGAAGGTTGAAATTAAGGTCCAAGTCCTGCTTGTTTAGTTGATGTGACTTCACATGAGCCAATCAACCAGAATTGATTCTGAAGCATGGTATCTGTGTGATTCTGGCCATGCATCATCTAGTCTAGGGCTAAAAATCTGCTATATCCTTTTGCCCTCTCCTTGCTTTCACCATGCTATTTTTCCTGGTTCTGTTTCACCAGTAGAGTTATCTGGTTTCTTTGGCTGTTTATAAATAGTAAATGAGTGTCACTATTTTCAGGAGGTCAAGGGAGAGTTTTATACATCTGTGGTTCTTTGCAGGCCTTTAGTCACTTCACCTTTGAGCGCTCAGGACACCAGCTGATTGTTGTTGACATCCAGGGAGTTGGAGATCTATATACAGATCCTCAGATCCATACAGAGAGTGGTGCAGACTTTGGAGATGGTAACCTAGGTAAAGTAAATTATTCTGCTTTTTATAAAAGTTCCTTTTCTCATTCCAGCTCTCTGCTGAGTAGCAGTTGCATGGCAGCTGTCCCACACTAGCATATTGAAAATGGGAGCTGGCCTTAGCTCTTGTTTGTGGGCCTACTCTTAGACAAGCCAAGTAATGAAATTAAATAGCTTCCTGCAATGTGAAAACAATAATCTTGGCTTTAAAATTCCTTGCCAAATCACGGGAATGAGTCCAGCTGAGTGCAGAGAGATAAACCTTGCACAAAGTTGTTCGTAAGACGCTGCCAGTTTTGTAAGTGGGATTGAAGTCCAGCATGTGTTTCTCAATGCTGCAGTCACTTTCATGGATTCTTATTATATGCTGTGTGTACTTAATCTTTGAGATATTTACAGACTTAAAGTTTGAACAACAGACCTTAAAACTGTTATGTTGATCTGTTTTTATTAGGAAGCACTTTCTGTTCTTTCTTTCTCTTTTGCTTCCTCAAATTTTGATGGTTAATCTTGACTTCAAATTCATATAACTTTTTAAAATACCTCAATTCCTTTAAAGAGCATGTCTTTGAACTTTTAGCTTAGTAAACTATCATATAAACTTTGGATAAAACCTTTTTTTTTTTCCCCTATGCCACAGGTGTTCGAGGTATGGCCTTGTTCTTTCATTCACATTCCTGCAACAAGATTTGCAAAAGCATGGGACTTGCACCATTTGATCTTTCACCCAGAGAGAGAGATGCTTTGGATTATAGTAACAAATTGCTTGTAAGTGCCTAACTGAAGAAAAAAAATTATAACAACAATAAGTTTTAAAAATTCTGTAAATAAAACTCAAATATGGTATTTACATGACAGATAAAACCACCTTAATAACAAATGTTGCAGTCTGGAGCTGAATCATCCGTTCTTGCTCTGAATTCATGATGTTGCTTTAATGATTGAGAACTCTGTAACATGGTGGTGAAGGGCTTGCAGTTGGACTCGATGATCTTGAAGGTCTTTTCCAACCATAATGATTCTGTGATTCTGTGTATGGTATTTAGGATCAAGGAGATATTTGAATACTGAAGTCATTAATTTAAAGACCACAAAGCAAGTAATTTTGGGAGTAAAAAGTTAAATTGTTTATCTTCAACGGATCTCAACTTCAACTAATATTGGTAGGAGTACGGCTGCAGAATTCAGCCTAGTCTTTGAAAGAAATCTAGTCTCGCTAAATGGAAATCCCCCTGGCTATAATAGTGCCAGGATTTCATCTTTTTTTTGAAGGGATATCTTTTTTAAAAAAAAAAAAATGCATACAGGCCTGTACTTATACCCCACTACCTTTATAGAAGACACCTAATGAACATGTTGGCCTTTTCATTGTACTTGGGATAAAGAGAAGGGAAGCATTATTGACGTGTTTTTATTTTCATTTGCCAAGAAATCTGCGCAGACCATTGTGCGTGGCACAGAGGAGAAATGTGGAAGCAGCCGGGTGAGAACCATCTCCGGGAGTCGCCCTCCTCTGCTCTTCCGCCTGTCTGAAAACTCTGGAGATGAGAGCATGAGCGACGTGGCGTTTGACTCTCTGCCCTGCTCACCTTCCTCAGCAACGCCTCACAGCCAGAAGATGGACACGCTTAGTGAGTGAGCCTCATACATAACCACCTGAGTCCTGAGCACTTGGCAATGACTTGCTTTATTTTTTCAGCTTTAAATAATATCTTTGAGATGCTGCTATGAAAAAGTTCTAGTAATCTAGTAAGATTGTGATAACTAGAACTTTCTTCTCAAGCATGTTGTTCTTAAAACAAAAAGCAAATATTTTTTTCCTAGACTGGCCTGTGTTCAATGAAGTAGACAACTTGGTTCACAAAGACTACGATCAGCTTGATAATCAAAGGGTGAGTGACAGAAAATTTTCTGACAGAAAATGAGATTGCAGTTTCTTAAAGGATTCAAATGGCTACCAGTAGGGCTTTGTTCAGTAAATGCACATAAAGGCTCTCTGCCTGCTTTCAATGCACAATACCTGCATCTGTTGTTTTTCATTTATTAGAAGCAGTTTATTTAAAAAAAAAAATTGTTTGTTTGTTTTTTTCCAGAGATTTGTTTGCATTTGGTGTATTTTAGTAGATAATATAGTACTCTGTTTACCTGTGTGTTACGTTGTCTCTCTGGAGCTTTTGCCAACTTTTGTGGTGTGAAAGCTAAACAGAATGTCCATTGATTAGGTTGCTATGAATACTGGCACTGTGGGCTGTCAGAGAACACTCCCTAAGGAAACTACCAGAAGTATTTTGAGGATATCTTCCTACACAAGGGCCTTAGTTCCAGGGGCTGCCAGTTAATGTTTTATCTCCTAACTTGTTACTGATGAAGACTGAGAACTGTATAAAGTGGACTCTTGGTCCAATCTTCCACGCAAGTCTTTGAATTCCAAGTCTTTAAGAGAGAATATAAGCTTGGACTGGGCCTTCAGGGTTGTTAAATCCTGTTCCGTCACAGATGGCACAATTTATAATTCTTTCCATGCTGTAAACCTGTATTGAAGCTAGCTGAAGATTATAGGATATGTCCAGCTGAGAACTTTACAAAGGCTAGTGTTGATACTGGGTTGCTTTGTTCTTTTATAGGATTTTGAAAATGGTGGAGACAGTGGCTATCCCAGTGAAAAGAGAAGTGAGCTAGAAGATCTGGATCACAGAGAGAGGGTAAGAACTTAATTTGGGCTTAGCAGTAGGTTGAACCTCTTATTCTTTCTTCAAAGCAAATCTATAGATAAATATAATGTTGATCTAGACTTTGTGAATGAAGGAGAGTTGGAAAGAAATTCCAACAGGCTGCAAAATTACTTGTTCATCTTGGAAGTGTTGATGATATTTTAACAAAAAAAGACTATTTGTAATGAGAAATTTTATTTCAAATATTAAACTTGATTGCAGGTTGTTGCATTTTATTGAAGTTGTTTTGTATTGCATTGAGAACTGTACATTATAACCAGTTTTTGTCATATGGAATCTCTGAATATGACTGACTTTCATGGTCTTTTACCCTCTCTACCTTCTGTGACTTTATAGGGCTTGAGATATTGCAAAACTCAGGGTTTACAGTCAGTTAATATGTGGCATTGGAATTCCTGTGGGTCAGTTGGTTAGCCTTTTAAAATACAAACTTCTAAGACATGTTTCTTGACCTGAAGACCCTAGCTCTGTATTTGATTGCTAGATGGGAAAGAGAATACTGCTTCCAAGGATGCAACCCCTTTTATATCAAGGAATCACCTTTCAGGGTGGATCATGTATTTGTTGTAGAATAGCTGTAGTTAATCTAAATGAAGGCCTGTCTGTGCAATTCTTTCTAATTATTATTATTTTTACTAATCAGCACTTTTTTAATATCTGAATATCGTTGAGAGGAGAATTCGGTGAAAACTATTTTCATTATTGTTGCTATTACTTTTGCTGGATTGGAATAGTCCAGAGGGGTGACTGGTACACATCAGCTGCTGTAAATTAAGTGATGCAAATCTTTACATTAACATAGGGCAATTCAAACAACAACCGAAGACATGAATCTGATGAAGACAGTTTGGGAAGCTCTGCAAGGGTAAATAAAGCAGCACTGTTCACTGACAATGAGCTCACCACTCTGCTTGTACTTTGTTCCATTCATCTGTCATCTAACTTCACATCACAATATCAGATGTCAGTTTTCTTTCCCACTGCAGAATAATATTTCTATTAAAAATAACCGACCCTTTTAGATTCTCTTCTTTTTCTTTTGTTATTTTTATAAATGTTCCCTAGTGTAAATTAGTAATTCTGCATGGATTTCTCACTGTTTCATATTTGGGGGAGGAGGGAAGAAATCTGCTTAACTAAAATATATTTCCTTTTTGTGTTTTATTTATGGATTTGTGTCCTATACCTAGTGGGATGACTTCTTTTCAAAGCTTGGTGTGTTTTACATGTGTGATGATAGCTGCTTTCATTATGTATATTACTTGGACTGAGGAAAAACAGGCGTGCTTCTATGTGTTTGCAAAATATAGCCTTTATGATAATTAGTTCTTGTGGCTAAAAACAACCCTCTCCTACATGCAAAGGAGGAAAAAAAAAAGTTTTGACAATAATGAGTATTTCCATTAAATGTGCTTTTCAGAGTTTAATTGTAGTGATTATGTATTGTCGTTTCTGAAAATTGAAAGAGCTTTAATAGTCTCAAGATCAGTGCCAATAATCTATTGTATTATGTTTCCTCTTTAGACCTTCAGTGGCTTTTATTTTGGTAACATTACTTTCAGATAGTGTTTCCCATCCGCCCATGATTTAAAAATATAATAAATGGTTTATTATCATTTGCATTGGAAAACCTGAAAAACATCAGTGCATGTATGTCCATCATCTTCTGAATTGTTCCTGAGATGCTTTTCACTTTTCTAGATTTGCTGAATGTATGTGTCATTTAAAAATTTTATTTATTTGAAACACTGACCAGGAAAGTGTGATTTTAATTTTATATGTATAGGTAGCCTCAGTGTTTACAGGGTGACTATTCAGGTGGTTATTTTCATATGTGTGTATCTTTTGGTTCAGGACTTAAAGGGGATATTGGATATTTGATGTAGTGCATAGCAGTGGAGAGCTTTCCTCGTTGTTGTTGTTATAGTGAAGAACAGTGACCACTTAGTCAGCTACTAATGTGACTTTTGAAAGCAGTATCTTAATTTACCATATTTATTGATAAGCAGTAATATTAATAGATTTTTTATTATTATTTCTGAAGGGTACACCATATGAATAATTTGAAAACTTTTAATTTCAGATACAAATGGTAGTATATTCTGTATTTTAGGTCAGTGTGGAGAAATGGAATCTCTACAACTCTTCCAGAGTCCACATCCACAGACCGTCCTGTGTTGCACATGAAATTCAGAGGCTTAATGCGTTAGAACTTGAAAAGAAAATTGGGAAGTCAATCCTTGGGAAGGTAAGAGGAGTCTAATAATTCTGTTTTTTCCAACTGAAAAGAAACATTTTATATTTGTTCCTTATATTTGTTCTTTTATATTTGTATTGGTGTCTGTCTGCACTACTTATTCACAAAAGCAAAAAGAAATATTATGCCTATAGGTTCATGTTGCTTAGTTTTATTTTATAAAGGAAGCCAGAGCTCACTAACCCATGAGTTCCCTGTGCTTTTGGACTTGAACTTGTGAGCCCTTTTGGAAAGGACCCTGTGTTGGCTCGTCTGCCTTCCCAGAGGTATCAGGTGAAGAAGATCAAGTGCAGTAGATGTGATGTGCCTGACCCATATGCTGCAGGCAGGCCTGGCTTGGCTCCTCAGGAACGATAGTGTGCACCAGCTCTTTTTACCCCTAACAACTCAAATGTGAACTAAGTTTTGACTTATGCATGGGCTTAAGTCCACACTGAAAACACTGTGTAGAGCTGCCCAAACCTCAAATGGTTTTCCTTGCTGTTTGAAATTTGCCCTTTTTTCCTTTTTCCTTTTAGGAGGTGGGGTGGAGGGAGATGAAAATCGCAGTACACATTTGGAGCAAAATCCTGTTCCCATTGAGGGTTCAGTGGTATCAGAATTTTGCTTGGAATAAGAACTCGTCTTTGCTTTCTGTGTTTCTGGTTAATTCCTTTCCTATGGGGCCCTGCTGTAAGAAAGGCCTGTGAGCCCCGATTGCTAGAGCCTGTCCTCCTGGCTGGTGCGTGATGAGGCTGCAGCCTGCAGTGCCATCTAGCCAAGGTGTCTTTAATTACAGCTGCCTCCTAGAAGCCTCCAAGGCCCCAGCAGATACACAGGGACAAGCATGTGCCCTCTGAGACCTGGTGCTCTGGTGTGGTCTGGGTAGCCAAAGAAATGTGTGGGCATTTAGCTTGGGGGAGTTGAAGCTACATTTCATGCTGGCTCATCTTTCCTGTGCGCTTGCTGCTAGGTTCACTTGGCCATGGTTCGCTACCACGAAGCTGGGCGTTTCTGTGAGAAGGACAAGGAGTGGGATCAGGAGTCAGCCCTGTTTCACTTGGAGCACGCGGCGGACTGCGGGGAGCTGGAAGCCATCGCTGCGCTGGGACTCATGTGCTGCCAGCTGCCCCATCACATTCTTTCTGAGGTCACTCTGGAGGTAAATAGGAAGATCACAGAAAGTCCAGAATCTAGAACTGTGCTCCTTCAGAAGAAATAGCCTAAGTATTGCAGGAAAGGAAGACAAAACGATAACCATGGTTGTGTTTTACTGCAGCCACAGCATTAAATGTTTCCCTTCAAAAAAGATAGTTTTATAATTAAGGGCTTGGACTAAACACCAAAGCAGCTGTCTGTTCCTGGTTTTGCCAGAAAATTGCTGCATAACATTAGGAAGTTTTTATGAAGTGATCTTTGCTCTTCAGCCCCTCAGCTTCTTGTGGCTGGGCCTGCTTCTCAGATGTATTAAACACTTGCAACAGTTACTGACATGGAGAAACTGTTTACTGATAGAGGAAGCAAGGGATGGATTTACTTAGAAACAACCATTTTAGAGGTTTTGTTTGTTTTGCTAGGACACAAAGGAGAACAGAAGAAAAGGATTTGATTACTTACTGAGAGCAGCAGGAGCTGGAGATCGGCCTTCCATGATCCTAGTAGCAAGGGCATATGATACAGGTGTAAATCTTGCTTCAGACAGGTACTGTGCATCCCTGGGAAAGCTACCCTGGTGTTATTCCCACACAGAAAAATAATACTTGCTGCATGTTTTTCATTCATGTAAAGATCTGTTAGTAAAATCGAGACTTTTTTAGATATAATTAGATATGTTTCAAATATATCCAAGTATGAATAAGAACTGAGTTTATATATTATGATAACAAAGTTCTGCTGCTGAATACCTGCATGTGTATCTTATCCACCTGCATGTTTGGGTTTAGCCCTGATATCAAGACCCAGGTTGCCCTGTGGTATGCAAGCTTTTTTTGCTATGAGGTGGGTGATAAAAACCTCCCTTGGCTTTAATGGGAGCTACATCCCTTTTAGTGGTGAAAAAAGAAAGTCTGAGATGTGGTATCCTGAAAATAATTGCAAAGTATTTGCAATTTTTAAAAAAATATTAGTGAAAGAAGAATCTGTGCAAGTTATCTTCACAAACAAATGCCACTCCAAAACTATATAGTAAGTAACAATGAATGCTTAGACCTTGGAGCTTAGCAGAACACTGCAGTCTGACTTGTTTTCATCTGTGATTGCTGTGTGAAGTGATCCCAGCATCATTTGGTTTATTGTAGCCTCAGATCATTACGCTTATTCTATTATCTCCATGAGAACACAAATTTTCTTGAAGAGCTCTAGGACTGAGGAGCTGTTGCAGAATTAAATCCTGAAGCTTCAATGCAAAGTATGCTCGTTTCCAAAGGTAACTGTCTTCAAAAACTATTTTTGACTTCAGAGTGCGGGATTGGAAGGAGGCACTGCACTGGTACAATGCTGCCCTGAACATGACTGACTACGATGAGGGGGGTGAATATGATGGCACTCAAGATGAGCCCCGCTATCTGCTACTGGCCAGGGAAGCAGAGATGTTAATGACGGGAGGATTTCACTTGGACAAAGATCCACAGAAATCAGGTGAGTCCTTTCCTCATTTTTGTTTCTGCGATTAGTAATCTCTCTTTTCCTCTCTCCTACCCAATATGTACCCCAAAAATAGATTTCCTGGTTCAGCTGTTACAAAACATGTAGAGAAGAGTCAGTGTCCAGACCTCATGGATGAACCTACAATACACCCAAGCAATATATAATTCTGGAAACTGAAAGAGATTTTGCTGATGCCAGGGATAGTGGGTGGTGCCAGCTCCAATCTTGCGACATGCTGAGTCCCTTGCAAGCAACCTTCACTCCCTGTGAGGCCGCTGACCTGCAGGTTGCTGCTTATATTTTGAGGTACCGCAGTAACTCCTATGTTCTGCACAACCCTGACTTAGCCGTTATATAATCTGTATGTCAGGAGCTAAAGTCTTACAGTCTTCTTGGGCCTTTTACATGGCTGGCTATGTTTCTGGTGTGTATCAACGCATTAAAGGGCCATGCTGCTGTCATATCAGCAACCAGTCGTATAACTCTTGAGGTAGAGAGCAAAAGCCCAGGTTCCCAGTTGATGTAACTCTGCTGATATTCATAAAATACACAGTTACACCCATAGGTCAAATTACAGGGCCGGATCTCAGTTTCCCTTTTCATACTTCAGTTGCTTTAGGGTAAAGGGATGCTTTTTCTTTGCTGACATGACTCATATTTCCTCCTGTCCTCCTGTAGGTGAGCTGTACACTGAAGCAGCAGAAGCAGCAACAGAAGCCATGAAAGGCAGGCTGGCAAATCAATACTACCAAAAAGCTGAAGAGGCTTGGGCGATGATGGAAGAATGATGTTGTAGTTATGTAGCTTTTGTATATAATATTTTTATAGACTTACATGTTTTCCGCTAAAAATATGTATTTTTATGTGCTGTTACCAGTTTTTGTTTTTTATATTTTAGTTTTTTAACTTTGAGGGAAGAAATCCAAATATAGGTACTATGTAGGGAATCATAGTGTACTTCTACCTATGTTTTAAAATACTAGTACAATGGAGCTTTTATATATTCTTAACTGTTATAATTTGTTTGAGAAAAGTGAAGCTGATGTCTGTTTACATTGCACATGTCCAGCTTTTTGCATAGCAAATGATCAGTGTGTTTACATTTTTTTCTCCTATAAATTTTCAATTTACACATGTAAAGCATGCAACTACTCTTAGTAAGTGATCCCCTTCTATGAAGCTGGTGTCGATTGACTCTGATATTCTTCTCAAACCAATTCCAGATATAATCTTTACAGTTTGGGGAAAAAAAATGGTGCTTCTAATTTGGCACCCTGAATATTCAGGGTGAGGTATGTGTTTATTCATACCAGCATTATGTGTTTTATGATCAGAACATCACTAATGTGAGGTGAGGCATCTAGCTACCTCTTATTTCAACATTTTTTACAACATAATAACCTAGCTGTATAAAATCATGCTCATTTCAGATTTATCCAGTGACAAGACCTGTAACATATTGGTAGGATATAGCTGTCTTTACAGGGACATCTTAGTTTGCAGTGAAACTGGATCTTCTTACTTAAAATGAAAATTCACTTCCCACCATTTCAAGAGGGACATTTGAAAAGTGTAGAGAATGTTTATTCACCTATTTCTGTGTATAGGGGAAAAAAAATCTGCTCTAAATAACTTAATGTGTCTGATCTGCTCTCTCGTGGCACATGAAGTAACTTCACATGATAGTTTGACAGATTTGAGCTGATCGGTGAAGAATATACAGATTACAACAGGTAATTTATAAAATACTACCCTATGGTACAAAGTTTATTTTCTGTGGTATTAGGCATTCATGTTCTGGAGTTTTGCATCTGTATTTTAGCATCCTTTCTTAGCCAGTTAAATTTCCTGAAAGACCTCCTCTGTTCACAGGACACAGAATTGTTGTAAATGTTAGTTAAAGGAAATTATACTTTTGCAGATTTCAGGAAGAAAGCATTATTATCCCCAGCCACTTTAATATCTGTACCCTGTTTACATGCTCCTAAACCAGTAAAGGGAAGACAAACACACCATGGCAGTTGAATTATTACACAAAGGTAAGATTCTTCCAAGTCCAGTGTCCTATTCCAAAGCTCCAGTGCCATCAATATAGCTGTTTTAGAAGCTATAGTCCTATTTCTTGGTCTTGGTTAGCAGTAGTTTGTAGGAGATGAAGACAATCTGCCTTCTTGCCTGTAGAGTTCCTGAGGATGTAGACTGGCATGAATGAGGGACAGCCACCATGTAGTGCTGAAGGATTCATAGTGCTGCCCTGCCCCACTCTAGCAAAGCTGTTAAGTAGGTAACTAGCTACGTACTAAAATGCTCAAATTCTTTGTACCTAATATGCTGAAATTGAACTGAAATTTGTATTGCCACAACTTAGGAGAATGCTTTAAGTACCTGGCCACAGATGTGCGTTGGGTGTCTACAGCCGCTCTTGGATGTGGCCTTTTGTTCTTTCATAGCCCTTAAGCATCAGCTCTCTGTTAAATGTAAAATGCCTGTCACCTCTTAAAATCGGTTGAGCAATTGTAGAGCGTTTTGTGCAGGATCAATACCACGTGAGCAGTATAACATGTACAAACAAAGGATTTATTTTCACTGAATGGTGCTGGTGCCGTATATTTCCATGAGAAATAAGCATGTGTGCAACAACCTCACCAGTCTTGTAGGGAACAGAAGAGATAATGTGTCCATCTAAAATATAAGTAAAGGACTTAAGAGTATAATTACTGGAACTCTTTGACATAGTTTAATTTGCTAATTTCTGATGTTGCTAAAGTTGCCCACTGCTCTCTGTAGACCTGGTGTATAAGTGTGATCACAGCTCTGAAAAAAAATGATTAATACTCTATTTTCTGTAAATGTTACTTTTTAATGATGTAGACTGCCTTCTGTCATAAGGTGGTATAATATTATTTAGCTCTCTAATAATTAGTGCTTTGAATGATTCAGAATGAAACTGGTTTACAGAAATTTGCACAACTCTGATATTCTTTTGAAGAGAATATGTGTTCAACAGACTTCTGGAATGATTGCTCTGTGCTGTATTTTTAACATATTCACAATGAAAAATAAAAAATATATTTTTAAAATATGTGAAAATTAATCTGAGGCTCTGCCCTGCAAAACTTGCTTGGATGCAGCGTTTCTGGAGGTCACTGGGAAAGCTGCTGGGTGAGGACAGCAAGGTGGGAGCCTTGTTTGTGTGTCAGACATGCGGGTACTGGTGGCCTGTGCCACGTAATCGTGTCCCTTGCTTCATCTGGCTTTGTTTGTTTGGGTAAATAAGGTTTCTAGAGCGTTGGTCATTGCCTTGGGGGGGTTTCTCTTTGGTCTTGCTTTTTTCTACATGCCAAAGTCAAATCCTACTGTTCCAAGCTCCCAGGAATTCTCATGTGCTTTCAACAGTCAGACCTAAATATCTGGGGGCAAATAGTGAGACGTGTATCAAGGAAATGTTTTCTTCAAGAAAACTCATATTTGATCTGATGTTTTATTTGCATTTGGTTGCATCCACAGTGCCTGTAACTAGTACAGGATCCACCAAGCGCTGCTCCCTTGCAGGGCTGTTAGAGGTGTCTATGCCTCCAATCTTTGCCTAGCCCTGGGGAAAGCAAATAGCAAATGTTTGGCTTGAATGATTAGAGGTGGGAGAGTTCTTGTAATAGGTACAGTATCTAATGATATGCTGTCCTCTTCATTATGTTTATTACTCTTTTATACAAGAACAAACTGTTCTGGTATTAGTCCTTTTAAACTATGGTAACTGGAGCCCATACTGTTGCTTTTTATTACCTTAAGGCTGATAATTATTCTGCCTGTATCATTTAAACAGTATGAAATCATTCTGTAGCAAAGGCACTTTGCAATCTTAACGCAGCAGGTATAGTACAGGTGGAGCAACCCCAAACGTCTCTGAATTTTCACAGGAAGGGTTACCTGTGACTCTCTGTTCGGGCTCTAGGCCAGCACTTCTGGGAGTGATGGGCTGTTTTCTGGTGAAAGTTTAGGAGCATCTCATGCTGGGGACCTGGACATTTTGTGGGACAGGCTCACAGGGCTCCCCCACATGACTTCCCCCAGTCCTTGGTCTGAAGGAGATCGCAGTGTGGCTGGTAGGTCTTTGCCTATTCTGTGCTTTGCTCCTGCCTCAGGAAAGCAATATTCTCACACAAGTAGCTTGCATTACACAAGTAATATTCTTACACAAGTAGCTTGCATTATATTTGAGATTTCTAGTAAGTTCCCACGGACTGGAAAGGCTGGTGGGGTCCGGCACCGCTGCAGCGGGCGGGAGCGGGGCCAGCACAAGCCACGCGGCGCCCAGCCGCCCCTTGCGCCGTGGCATCCACGTGGCAGCTCCCTGGGAGGGCCGCGCAGGACCGCCGAGCGGCCACCCGGGCCCGTCCCGTGCCTGCCCAGGCCCGCAGAGCCTGCTGCGAGCCCCACGGCCGCCACTCGCTGCCGGTGCTTCTGCAAGGGCTCCGAACTGCTGCGGCCGCAGCAGCAATGCAAGGAAACAAGGTCTTTGCTTTTAACGTGTAGATGGCTCAGGTGCTATGCATAAATGCTATGTACGGGCGCGGCTGCCGGGACCTGCTCTGGGAAAGGTGGGGGCTGCTGAAATTAAATAAAAATGAAGAGGAAAAGAAAGGGCCGCGGAGGCGGGTCGGGATGCACAGTAGAGTTCCCGCCAAGTTGGGTTTGCACGGCGGTAGCGTGGCCGAGCGGTCTAAGGCGCTGGATTAAGGCTCCAGTCTCTTCGGGGGCGTGGGTTCGAATCCCACCGCTGCCAGCAGACTCTTTTTCGTGCCGGGCGCAGCGCCC